ATTTATTTTGATCTAAAAATAAAAACTAATTTCATACTAAAAAAATATATACATAAAATATATATTTTCAAAATATAAACTACTGCCATAGCTACAGTGTAGATGATACCCGAAAACATGTCTATTAAAGTGCTGTCTATATTCTAATTTGTTTGCAATTTTTTAGATTTACTTATTATACACACGGACAGACACACACACATATACATGTATGTGTATGTACACTGTAGCTGTCCTCAGACACACCAGAATAGGGCACTGGATCCCATTACTGATGGTTGTGAGCCACCATGTGGTTGCTGGGAATTTAACCCAAGTCCTCTGGAAGAGCAGTCAATGCTCTTAACCACTGAACCATCTCTCCAGGCCCCTTGTTTTCTTCAGCTCTCCATAAAGATCAATGAAGCTTGTACTTTCCCTTAGAGATCCCTTAAAAACATTTAAGAGCGCATACTTAGCTAATTCCTTGTTCTCACTTCACTGCTTTTGGAAGGGGCGTGGTCTCATGTTTGTAACGAGGCATGAGAACCCCACTAACTGACGGAAGCTTTACAGACAGGAGTCCTTCAGAGGCTGCATCTGCACAGGCAGCTTCACCTCACTGCATGCTGCCCTTGACGCAAACCATCGTTGCTAAGTACACTTTCCCACTACTCTCACGGGTACTTTCATCCACTGAAGAATAATGACAAATACTCAGAGTACTTCAGTTGTCAATCAAATCTAACCTTCCTCTAAAGCTTGACTCTTGGGATGCCATTACTGCTTTTGTTCATAGGAAGCTTGGTTCTCTCACAGAAGCAGCCCTTCAAGGGGCCTGCAGTAATAATCCAGACTACCAGAGACCAGCCCCTTCTCCAGCCTCAAGGCAGAGAACACTCAGAACTGTGTTCCAGGGAGAAGAAGCATCATAAGAACCGTGCTGACTAATCCAGGACCAGAGCGTAGGACTCAAAATCATCTACTATCCTTGCCTAGATCCCAAGAATCACAAGCTGCTCCCAGCAAATTAGCACACAGCAGAGGCCTAAGGCGGTCCTCCTCACGGGCATAAGGCAGTCCTCCTAATGGACATAAGGCAGTCCTCCTACTGGACATAAGGCGGTCCTCCTCCTGGGCATAAGGCAGTCCTCCTCCTGGGCATAAGGCAGTCCTGGTGGGCATAGAGCGGTCCTCCTCCTGGGCTGTGAGACTGCTAGCACACTTCATCCACCCTCTCATTCCCCTTCCTTCCCTGGTTCACTCCTTTCTTGCACTGCCCTGCTCCACTACCCTTGCACAAGGATTTCCCCCAGTGAATTGCTTGTACGCTTAACTCTGTCGTGGCTCTTGCTTCTCAGAAGGCCAAGTTTAGCACATCTGGGGCAATACACTTACACTTTCTGAAACCAGAAACTTGTAAATAGGCCCCCAGTAAACTGACATTTTGTAAAAGTTTATAAAACAGACTCTCACGTTTGAAATTCTTCCTTCCCCTCCCACGCTTCTGTAGCTTCAAAGGGATACTAATAACGGAAAAGCAGGCTTTTAAATAGACATATCAAACTGATCACTCTCCTAATACTAAAGCCTTTCCTTTAGTTATAAATTGATCCAGCTCTGATAAGAAGGCAACTACTAAGTAGTTTAGCTATTAATACTAGGCTTAGCTATTTATGTGTCCATCTGTCTGACTGCATACCAGCTTCTGGAGGGGAGCAACTCTCCCACTTATGTTCGAGGTCACTAGTAGCAAGGACTCAACAGATGCCTGGTGATGGACAAGGTATGAAATCAGAAAATCCAATAGTGGGTCACAGGGATCAAACGGGGGCAGGATTCCCAGATCTCCTTGGAGATATGGAAAGCAACTACCATACACACACTGTTTTTATTGTAAGAACATTAAGCTTCATTTTACAAACTATAGAAAGTAAGAAAAAGATGAGACAGGGAACACTGGACCTAATTTTAACCTGCCCCGGAGCTCTGCAAACTGAGAGTACCACCTAAACCAATCTCCTGCCTGTAAGGAATACTCAAAACACAAAGTCTGGAATTAGAGTAAGTTGTAGGAAATCTGTGGCTATGCATACATGTGTGGATTACACACACATAGACACATTAATTATAGGTCATATTTAATAACAGATCTAGATCCCTTATTCTAATTCATTTCACTCCACTCCAGATTCACTCAGACATCAACAGCAGCTTATTGATGACAGCTAAAATTATACTTCCTTTTAGTTAGCAGAAAGCAAAATCTTGTTCCTTCCTACCATGTGATTGAAAGTTTCCTTACAAAAAACCATCAATCTACTTAGTCAAAAGTTGCCATTTACTAAATAACCTAATGACTGTAAACAAACAGAAGAAAATGTTGGAAATTAGATTATTCTACATAACTTGATTCCTTCATGACTATTTAATTAAAAAAGCAATTTGTTCCTCCAAGTGTTAGCATGTTTATGATGATTACATTTTTACTGCGACAATGAAAATGAGTGTGTCAGTGCGGAGCTCAGACAACGACACCTTGGGTAGCCCTTCTCAGAGCACATTAATTCATCTAAATTATACCTTGTCAGTGGGGAATTTTCTTCTACATATTGATGATTTCAAACCCAATTAATTTCTCCCTACTGTTTAAAAGCTCACAATAATACTGGCTTGAGCAGTGTGCCTCTGTGTATATCTAATGACTGCAAAGAATGAAATATTCTGTAGACCAGCATCAGAAAAAGAAAAGCAAAGACATTTTCCTTCTGTCTATTTTCACTGTCCCCCCTACCCTAGAGGTACTAGAGGTGAAGTCATGTTAAAGAACAGGACATACAGGGGGGATGTAGCTTAGCACCTAGTGTGTTTGTCTAGCATGCACAAAGCCTGGGTTCTATTCCCACCATGGCCTAAGCTGGGCATGGTGTTATAGTCTACAATCTATGTGTAGGAGGGAAGGCAGGATGAGCAGAAGCTTAAGATCATGTTTGGCTACCCAGTGAGCTTTAGGCCAGCCTGGGTAAAACCAAACCAAAGACACAACCTGCAACAATTTATGAGAATCTGAAGTAATTCCAGGACTTCTACTACATATGAAAGACTCCCTGGCAATGGTATGTACAGTAGGTCCTATAGAACTCCAAGTCAGCAGCAACCTCTCAGACACACTCCTTCTGATCGGCCTGGGAAGGATGGAACAGCACAGCTCTTCTCATTCCAAGTCGCTAGCATGACATCTGTCCTGTGAATCAGCCAAACTACACAAATGAACTGATGTGTCTACCTGCTCAGGGTGCTTCAAAACATTTCACAGTGAAGTCACAGTAAAAACTAATCCTAAATAATTTAATTAAGTATTTAATACAAAAATCATAGAAGAGAAAATAATGACAAATAGTTGAACAGAAATAAGAGTTATACACAAAACTGACAACTAGAGGTTAAAGAAACCAGAGGCCTATAGTTGTAGAAAGCCTGACAATCTGGCAGCCGGATAACATGTAATGTGTCATTTTCTGGAGAAGACAGTCCCTCTGTTTAGCAGAGAAAACAACGAAAATGCTGATTTACTAATGGTGAGTAGGTGTAAAGGGGTCATTCCTTCCTGGCCAATAGGTACCATCCCCTCGTGCTGTCAGAGATGCGTGAATAAATGCAAGACTTCTCAATCAACTGCTTATAGTTTCATGATAACCATTACAGCATTAAAATGGAGTACACATAAAATAAGCAATCTGCCATGCAGACAGTGGCCCCCACTCCCTCTCCAGCTGAGCGGTGCTCACAGACCCTCAGGAAGGGCACAAGGCATTGTTCTGGCCCAGAGATCGAGCGTGAACAACACAGACTCTAGGCACTGCACCTGGGACGGGAGGGTCGAGGGCCTTCCTACAAGAAGCCTGATAAGAGGACGAGCAATGACAGGTCCTGTGTGTCTACTCTGCTTCCATTCCACCATGAGAACACCCTTCAGTAGTGCCAGATAAGAGTTGAAAGAAAGGGAGTTGGGGACCAGGATGAGAAAGTGTGGTTGGAATATACTGTATGAGAGAAGAATTAAAAATGTTGAAAGAGAATTACGTGATGAATTCTCTCCACTATGTTTTAATATCTATCATGCAAGTGTATGTGTGCATGTGTGTGTCACAGAGTGGATGTGTACATCAGAATACAACCTGAGTGTTGGGCCTCACTTTCTACCTTACTTGAAACAAAGGTTCTCTGACAGTCACTGATACACACACCAGGCTAGCTGCCCATGAACTTCTGGCAATTCTCAACTGCACTGTGGGAGAGCCAGCAGTACAGATGTGCACAGCC